GAATTCTTTCGTTTTTGTAATCAAGATAGCCAATGTAATTGTACTAAAAAATATGGGATAAATATACTTAGTGCCTCAAACAGAAAAGATAACCTGTAAAATATTAACTAGTTGAATCATATATGATAGCACATGCCTGTAACCTCAGCACTTGGGCTGAACTAGTGAGACTTTTCGGTGTGAAGCCTTGGGTTTAATGCTCAATACTGGAAAGGAGTGGAGTTAAACTAGGACTACTTAGATCTGTAGCGAAAGGTTACCATTAAAAGAGTTCATCGAGGGGCCGGGGAGATGGCTCAGTAGAATAAGCACTTGCCTGGCAAGTGCAAGGGCCTGAGTTCAATCCCCGGTTCCACCAAAAAAAAAAAAAAAAGAGTTCCTCTAACTTGGACTTTGATTTACTACAAAGTGGACATTTAAAGTAAGTTAATTCCACAGACGAATGAACAGAAAAACTTTTGAGACTGGTTTCACTGTAGTTCAGGCTGGTCTTGAACTCACTATTCAGTCCAGGCTGTCCTGGCATTTGTGATCCTCCTGCCTCAGCCTCCCAAGTGCTAGGAGTACAGTTACATGCCAGCACACCTGGCTTGAGTTTTTAGATAAAATATTCAGGGAATGTTAAGATGCAGCCAAAAAAGGAAACTCCCTCAATTTGCTACCTTGTCCTGTACCCTTATTTTATTGGGAGTAGGGTATTGAGTGAGTAATTTACCTGGTTCCCTGCTCCACGGATGACAACTTTAGTAGAGGCTGAATCACAGTCTTCTGAAAATGCAGCCGCATGTCCTGGCTTCAGAGGTGTATGGTACAAGGCAAGAACATCACCTGAAATGGATAAGATTATTTCAGGTGATGGTTGAGATAATATTGGTTGTTTTGAGACTGACTGTCCTCCCCATTTCTCTGCATGGTGACCTTTACAGGAGACCATAAATAAGACAACCATAGCCTGCCATCTAGATAGTGACATTCTTTATTACCTTGCACAATTACATCATCATCCATGTATATGGCCTTCTTTGCATTGGGAACCAGAATTGGCAAATAGAACCTTGCAAAAGTTAACTGGAAAAGAAGCAATGGTGTAAGATACAGTATCTGTGCTTTTCTTTATACAGAAGCTACTAGAATGTTCTTGGGACCCTTTGGGAAAACATCTCAGGGCCTCTAGAGCCACCTGGGCATGGTCCCCAGGGAGCTGTCTGCCTTGGGCCCGGTCAGTCAGGTATTCTAATCATTTCCTAACTCCCAAGTACAAGCAAGGACGCAGGAAACTCACTGGTTTCATGGGCTCCCCCTGGTCAGGATCTTTCTTTACTTTCCCTTCCAAAAGTTTAGTGTCAAAATTCACAATTTTGTACCTGATGTTTTTCAGGGAACCACTATTAAGCCATGACCTAATGAAGAAAACATACCACAGTTCAGTTTTAAAAATTCATGTTTTCAACCCATAGCCCTATCTTTGTGCTTTTCCTACTATGGGTATAAATTAATATAAGAAATTTTAGGGACCAACTAGGTATTTTCAAGCTCCTTTACCTGAGACTCAGTTTTGTCTGAGGTGAGGATATTCTTACTATAGGTCCCTCCATGTACCAAAATTCTATGGTAATTACCATCCAACACTAAAACTACAAAAACTCTGGAATTGACAACATCCCATCACCCATCCATCCCCTGGACCATTCCTAATACACTGATGAAAAAAATGAGTCAAAAGTACAATCAAAAGCACTATCAGCAATTTACTAAGTGACAGTTCACTATGATTAAGTGTAATTTATCCACCAGAATCTGAGGTACTCTCCATACATGATTTCTCCAGGCAATTCCAAATCAGAATTTTTGTGTGCTTAACATAAAGTACAGTTGTGTTTGTTTTTTGAGGCAGAGTCTTAACATTCACTAGGTAGCCCACATTGGCCTTAAAAAAGAAGCAACCTTGCCTCAGCCTCTGGAATGCTCAGATTACAGGTACATGCCACCACACCTGGCAACTGTAATCTAATTTAGTACTTTTTTTTTTTTACATCTTGATGGTGTTTTTGTTTTGTTTTGTTGGCAGTATCGGTGATTGAACTCAGCACCTTGTGCTTGCCAGGCAAGCGCTTATTCTACTGAGCTATCTCCCCAGCCTTTTGATGGGTTCTAAATCTGATTCTTTCATAGAGAAAGCCACAAGCACAGAAATGGTCTTACAACTCTGACAAATGTGAATCTTGGTCTAGCTGTTTCTTGGAATAAACTTAGTTTCATAGATACACTCCCATAAAGGTTGGTTTCTATGACAGCATTTAACACATTTCCATTGGCTTGAACCACCAGATGACTTGTACCATTTGTGGTACAAACTTATTGGCAGTTTTACTATTAAAATTAATAAAAAGCTGTTTGATTGGATGACAGTCATGCATGGTCAAGCCACCTGGGAGCACGACATGCTAATTATATTCAAATAGTACCATTTACTAAGCAACTACTATGTGCTAAGTAATATACATATTTTGTATTTACTGTATTTGACACTCCCTAAGTTAAATGTGTATTTGACACAACACTCCCATAGTTACAGATGAGGGAATGGGCTCTGAGGTTTCCCTAAACACCCTGAGCTAGGATTTGGATCAGAATCTGCTCATAATTTTACCACACTATCTTGCCATTGTGCCTAAGCTCCTTTACGTTCTAGGTCAGAACTAAAGCCTGCCTCTAAGAAGGAACTTGTGATTTATAAGGCAACATACTGCTTCCTTCATTAAGAAAGCCTTATTAAAGGGCCGGCCAAATAGCTCAGCAGATTAAAGGGCCGAGGGTTCGAGCCCCAAGCTTGCGGTGCCAGCCCCCAGGGCGCACTGAGATGACAATTGAGACGGTGTGGTGGCGCTCGCCTGTAATCCTAGCTCTTGGGAGGCTGTAAACAGGTGGATCACTACAAGTCTGATCTAGCAGTGAGACCCTAAAATACAAAATAAAAGCCTTATTACCCAAGAGTATCAGTATTATTACCAAAACAGCAATATAGTTAATAGTATGCATAAGCACAAGAATGGTGTATCATTTCTGCTGTCAGGGGGACATGCTTATATATTCATGGAGAAACATTTATAGCTGCTATGTGGTATAATTCATATGCTATATATAACATAACATATACTATAGGCAAGATCTCACCGAAGGTGGTCTGCAGTATTGTTAAGCGTAACAATGTAGAAAATCACATTGGAACGAGTGTTGTGCTGAATGCTGTTTATAGCTGCAATGGCCCCTCCGAGCCTGTCTTCAGATGCAGCAATGACCACAGGGATCTCATCTTGTTTCCCATCTACTGCGTGGCTGGGAGCATTTGGAACAAAGTCTATAGGCTCAAGTCCCAGAAACCCTGAATCTGAAAGGAATACATACAAAGCACTAATATAAACACAAATGCAATTATCTTTAGTGTTTGATCAGAATCAAACATAGGAGAGGTAAGGTGAGGACTATGGTAGTGAGTGACCGTATGCTTTCCCATTAAACTTTGAAGCACACAGCCCAAAAACTTTTCCTCTACGTAACCAAGCTTTGGAAAAAGTGGAAATACTTAATAAGATAGACTGAAAAACACTGTTACACTGTTAGTAGAAAAGTAATTTCCCAGAATATATTGTGGCACTTTGCATCAAGAACCCTAAACAGGTAAGTGGCCTTTTATTCAATCATTTCCCCTTGCCACATCTCATAAGAACAAAATCTGAAATATATTCAAGTCATAATTTCAGGTTAGTACAGAATGTGTTTAGATTGCACAAGGCCTAGTTTCAATCCCTGCCATCACCACAAAGAAAAAAGTCATTCCCAGCCTCACTGTCAGAATTTGAATAGAAATTTCTGTTCAAATATAAGACTAAAATGGAAAAGATGACAAGAGAGTGCATGGTACTTAATAGTGGCAAGTATTGTTCGTTCCTTCCCTCTTTTTTTTTTTCTAGTACTAGAGATTGAACTCAAGGTGTTCAGGCTGAACTACATCCCCAGCCCTTTTATATTTTGACACAGGATCTCACTAAGTTGCTAACCACTCCCAGGCTGGGCTTGAACTGTCCATCTTCCTGTTTCTGCCTCCCAGGGTGTGGGAATGGAATTACAAGCATGTACCACCACACTACACCCAGCTTTTTTTCTTTTTTAAAGACAGTAGCCTCACTGTACTCCCAAGGCTGGCCTCAAACTCACAACCCACCTGGTTTGGCCTCCCAATTAGCTGCAGTTACTGCCCTGTGCCACCACATAGGCTTTCTTGCCTTTTACAGTACCATCAGGTCTCTTTACCTGTGGAGCCCACATACATAAATTCAAGCAACCACAGATTAGAAATACCAGAAAAAAAATTTACTAAACATGCAAAGCCTTGTTTTTCTTGTCATTATTATCGGACAATATAGTTTGGGAACTACATGGCATTTACAATGTGTAAGTCAGTGATGGTGAACTTTTTAAAGCTTTTAATAACAGCTGGCTGCAGCATACATGCCATAGGTTTGCCACCACTAGTATAAATAATCTAGAGCAGCTAAAGTATACACTAGGATGTACATAAACTATATGCAAATACTGTGCCATTTTATATACAGAATATGAGAGCCATGGCACAACTGTTTATTGATTCATTTACTCATTGAATGCTGAGTACCTGTTCTGTTCCAGGCAGTATATAGACACTGGGGTTACAGCCATGAATAAAGTATATAAATTCCTGGCACCATGGAAGATAGACAGTAAGCAAACACATACATCCATGTGTGTGCTGCCTATAATTCATTTCTTATTGTAGAATTACCACCAAAAAGTCTAAAAATCATTGGATCAAAAGATAGCTTTCAGTAGAATCAAGAACACTGTAGCGGGGCTGGTGAGATGGCTCAGTGGTCTAAAGCACCTACTTAGAACAAGCTTAGCAAAGCACAAGGGACCGCGGTTCAATCCCCAGCACCACATGCCAGCCAGCCCCGCCCCCTAGTGGGCTGAGCTGGCCACATACATACATAAATAAATAAAATAAATTTAAAAAAAAGAACACTGTAGCACATGAAAATACATGAAGAGGGGGCCGGGGAAATGGCTCAGTAGGATAAACGCTTGACTGGCAAACACAAGGATCTGAGTTCAATCCCCAGTTCTGCAAAAAAAAAAAAAAAGAAAATACATGAAGAGTTGCTGCTATCATGATGACGTGCTTATGATAAAATAACATGGACACAGCAGGAGGACTGAGTTTGAGCCCCTGGGAAAGCTAGTGAGACTGGCTCAAAATTTAAAAATTTGCAGAGTTCTGGGATATAGGTCAATGTGAAGGGCCTGGGTTCAATCTCCAGAACAAAAACAAAAAGAAAAAAACATACCATGTACAGTTTAATATAATCTCAACTTATATAGAAAAAATAAATACATAGATAAAAAGGTTGGAATATATAAGGCCAAAAATTTTAGTTAACTCTAGACAAATCATTCTATCAATGTTTACTCAGCATTTCCTATGTATCAACCATCATCTTTAAGGACAGGAGATAAAGCAGTGAAAATAATGCTGTTTAGAAAATTAAATGCTATTTTCTTTTTTATAAATTTTCCCAAGAGCACACATTATCTTTTATACATATACATGTATTGCTTTATTTTGTTGAGGCAGGGTCTTACTCTGTAGTTCACCTGGCTCCAAACTCACTGTGTAGCTCAGACTGGCCTCGAATTAATTGTGGTCCTCTTACCTCAGCCTCCCAGATAAATCTTCCTGTCCTGGCCTTCCTTAAATGCTGGGATTACAGGCATGTGCCACCATACTCAATTATATTTATAGTATATATACAGATATATAGATATATAAGTATAGAGATATATAGATATAGATATATAGATCTAATTATTTTTAAAAACGTTATCAGGGCTGGGGTACAACTCAATGGTAAAGTGCACACGTAAGGTCCTGGGTTCAATCCTCAGCATTAAAAAAAAAAAGCATGCTATCAACACTTTAAAGGCCAAATTGGCAGTGTACCCCTGTAATTCCAGCACTTGGGGAGACTGAAGTAGGAGGATTGCCATTGAGTTTGAGGCTAGCTTGGGATATAAAGTAAGTTCAAGGCCAGCCTGAACTATATAGTGAAATCCTATCTCAAAGAGACAAACACTGTAAAAGTCAGGAGGAAAGCTGTTATTCCCTCCCACCCCTGGTCAACTATACTGGGTTGAATACAAAACTGATTTTTGGAGCTGGGTGTGGTAGCACACACCTATTATGCTAGCACTTGGGAGGCAGAGGCAGAAAGATCATTTCAAGTTCCAGACCAGCCTGGACTGCACAGCAAGACCCTATCTCAAAAAAAAAAAAAAAAAAAAAAAAAAGAAGAAAAGAAAATCACAAAAATGGTGTTTTGACATTTTGAAGACACAAACATCTTTCAAAACTAAGGTAAAGCAGTATAAACATTTAATTTACAACAACTTGTAATTATAAAATAAAATTTTAAAAGTCAGCTTACAAGCTTTTATGATATTCTCAAATGAAGGTAATATAAGTAAAGGAAAGTTGTGGAGGACCCCTGGGTGCTGCTCCTTGAAGAGGAGAGCAATTTTCTCCTTTTTGGCTGAGCCGGACCCCTATTTTCGTTTTGGGGTTGGTTTTTTTTTTTTCTGTTTTGGTTTTTCTTTTTTCCGGAACCGGGGATTGAACTCAGGTCCTTGCGCTTGCCAGGGAAGTGCTTATTCTATTGAGTCATCTCCCTGGTCCCTGGACCCTATTTTCATGTACTGAAATGTACAGAGCAAGCTAGGGCTTTTCCTTATCCCTTCAGTTGGCTTTAAGCAGTGTGTATCAGTCCAGCCAAGGTGCTGGTGGTAGTCTTTGAAGAGAGCAGGTGTACTTCCCTGGACCCCCACCCGCTGTTCCTTTGTATGAGCTGGGCCGAGACAGGATGGAGAGCCAGTGCTCTGTGCTGTCCGCTGGTATCGAGCCTCAAGAGAGAAGCTCTGCCATCTTGGGGCTTGGAAGATTACCATCAGAGCTGAAGTACCGACCCCAAAACCTTAGACACCATCTCAATTGTGTAATGCAGACTGCTTTTTGTACACCCTTCTCTGGTGATTTCTGGCCTCCTACCTAGCGCAAGTCCACAGCACTCTCCACTTGCCCCTGTTCTCACAGTCATTCATCCTCAAGCCACTCCGTTCCTCACAAATTAATAAAACCCAGGGGCCAGAGAGATAGCTCAGTAGACTAAGCACCTGCTTAGGCAAACCTGGGTTTGATCCCCAGCACCACATGCCCTGCTGACCCCACCCCCAGAGGGCTGAGCTGGCCACCAAGACCAAGACCTCCCCCCACCCCCGTGTGGGGGTGCAGGCCTGTAATCCCAGCTCTGGGCAAGCTGAAAACGGGGATCACTACAAGTCCGAGCTGCATAGTTAGACGCTGTACCAAATACATAAAAAGAAGGGCCAGGGAGATGGCTCAGTGGAATAAGCGCTGCCTGGCAAGCTCAAGGGCCTGAGTTCAATCCCCGGTTCCACCAAAAAAAAAAAAAAACAAAACAGTGTGAGTTAGTGGTAAGGAGGCAGTACCAAATACATAAAAAGAAACAAAAAACCCAAAATTAATAAAACCCAGGTTCATCCCTGGGTTGAGGCCTTTATTCTAGATAGCCATCATCATGGCTGGACTTAGGACCCCCTGACTCCCCATGACTACAAATATGCTTTAGTGTCTCTATTCTCATGATGGGTTGCACTGCAAGTGGTGGATTGGAATTAACTCACTAGAATTCCAATAACTTTACATGGGATTACAAATATAAACTTCCCAAACAGAGATGAGGACCAGGAAGGGCTCTCTGTGCAAAAGAACTAGATTAACACCCTACTGGCCAGAATAAGCATCAAATATGGACACCTGCCTCCTCCCATCTTCCAAAGCCCTGCTCTGCTGAAATGTGAGCAGACAGCAGCCTATCCGGGCCCCTCTAAGGCCTGTGGTGTGATAAAAAGGAACATTCTATCAGATCAAAACTGCAGGGAAAAGAGGGCTGCACCACAGGAGCGCTGAGTGCCACCAGGCCTTTGCCCAGAATCTTTTGTAAGGCCAAGAAACAAGCTTTCTGTTCCTTTAAGGATTCAGTTGTCCATAAGAAAGTAACCTGAGTTTAAAGTGCTATTCTGAAAAATTAAAGAACTAACACACACACACACACACACACACACACACACACACACACAGCAAAAACTAGGCATGTTGATGCGCACCATAATTAATCCTAGCACTCTGGGAGCCAGAGGTAGAAGGATCACAAGTTTGAGCCGAAACCAAGCAACATAGTGACTTAGACTTTTTCTAAAAAAAGAAAAAAAAGATATGTAGTTCATTGTGAAAGCCCTGGATTCAAGCCCCAGTACCAACTATCCCTGCAGAAAAGAATGAATATTATAATGATGTAAATTAGGCTCAACCAATCTCAAAGCATTAGTAAAAATTCCCATACCTGAAGCCTCATTCCTCAGCAAACTGCTCAGGCCAAGGAAGTTACGCTGCAAAACCAGTAAGAAGAGGACAACGGCCAAGACCACGATGACAATGTTTACTGAAACACATAGAAAAGTCATGCATTAGCTCCCTTTACCTAAGACTAGGTATAAAAACAATGTAATTCACACAGAGAATATACCTTTACGGAATGACATCTTTTTCTTCTGTCTTGTATATTAACTATTAACCCTACAAAACAAAATCAAGCCCCCAAGTCAGTAAGGTAACCACATAACAATGGCCATCAAATGCCTATAGACACTTTTACTTAGGTAGAAAAAAGAGGCATATACGGTATTCTGCCAAAAAGTCGTGACTTGGAAAAACATGTAGCCTTAACCTCATACAGTGTCTGTTTCAAGATTAAATTAGATATAGATTCAGCTGTCTATGACGAAGTAACCTAAAAACTTAGGATGTTCTTCTTGGCTGAGGAGACCGCTCAGCAATTTAAGTGTCCACCTGGCAAGCATGAGGACCTGGATTTGATTCCCAATACCACATGCCATGCTAGTCCCGCACGGTGCTGGCTACCGAAAACAGGCATGGTGGTGCACACCTGTAATTCCAGCGCTGGGAGTGTTGAGACAGGAGGATCACTACAAGTCTGAGCTGCGTAGTGAGACCCTGTACCAAATATATGAATTTAAAAAAAAAAAATTAGAACACTCTTCTCAAAAATTAAAAATCTGCTAAAGGAAAAAGTTTTGTACCTCTGTTGGTTAACTACCGTCTATTAGGAAAACAGTATCAGATATCATCCCTTCACCTTATCCAAATCCTCTCTTTAAATGGGCTAGTCAAATAGCTCAGCAGATTAAAGCTCTTGCAAGCAGGAGCAGGGGCCATGGGTTCAATCCCTGGGCCTGCAGTGCTGGTCTCACCCCTGGGGTGTACTGAGAGAGCAACTGAGCCCAGCTCTTGGGAGGCTGTAAACAGGCAGATCACTACAAGTCTGGCCTAGTAGTGAGACCCTGAACACCCTTAGACCCTTCCCTAAAAAATGCAAAACAAATAATAATTTATACAACAATAGGATTATACATTTAAGAACTTTAGCCCTTTTTATGGTTTATCTTCACTTATAGTACTACTTTTTACAAAAGGCTACTTAGTTTCTTTTTTTTTGGCGGAACCAGGAATTGAACTGAGGCCCTTGAGCTTGCCAGTGAAGCGCTTATTCCACTGAGCCATCTCCCTGGTCCCCAAGGCTACTTATTTTCCAAAGCACTTTCGAACATATTTCTAAGAACTGAAGTTACTCTGTGTTTTTTTTGGGGGAGGGCTGTTTTGTTTGAGACAGGGTCTTGCTATGTAGTTCAAGGATGCCCTTGAACTCATTATGTAGCCCAGACTGGCCTCGAACTCATGGCAGTCTTTCTACCTCAGCGTCCCGTGCTGGGATTACAGGTATATGCCACCTGTTTTGCCCAACCAAAAGTAATTCTAGGTAAACAGTGTACCATCAGGCATTTGCTCAAGGCCTTTGAAAAGAGGAAAATATACTGAGGTGCTCAAAACTGCGTCTTACGGGACAGGTCACAGATCTGGGTTAAAGCAACTTAGGCAATCTAAACACAAATATACTCATTGTTCCTAGGGCAGTGCACGTGCAGTACACTGTACTAATGAACTTCCTCTGTGAACAACAGACACTGCATGCTTATGTTGTATGTCTCCATCACACTGTGCGCTAAACCTTACCTAAAGAAGCTGGTAGAGTGATAACTGCTCAGATAATAGCCCTAATATCTGCCAGCTTTGAACAAACTTCTGTTACAACTGAACACACACATACATAAACACACACACAAAACATCATTTTAATAAATCCCAAATAATTGAGGTGCTGTTGGTTTTTTTTTTTTTTTTTTTTTTTTTTGCGGAACCGGGTATTGAACTCAGGCCCTTGCACTTGCCAGGGAAGCACTTATTCCACTGAGCCATCTCCCCGACCCCAAGGTTCTGAGTTTTTTGTTTGTTTGTTTTTTTTAATCCCAAATAATTGATACAAGGAACAATGTTTTAGTTCACCAACTTCCAGAAATGGTTACTTACAGATGTACACTACGTAGATCAATATACATGCATGCTATTCCAGTTAGCTGGACACAGGAAAAATGTAACTCTAGCAAATATTTAATGTACTTAAGTAGATTAGCCTGGCAAAAAACACTTGCTCCTAAAACTTTTACACATGCCAAATGCCAATCATTGTAAAGTATGTCTGATCCATATTTCCTTTCCTAATAGCGAAGTTTCCTTCATCTGTTTTTCTTTTTTTTGGCGGTGTGGGCTGGCGGGGTACCAGGAATGAACTCAGGACCTCACACTCGCCAGGCAGGTGCCACACCACAGAGCGATATCCCCAGCCTTGATCTGTTTAGAAAGAATCCTCAAAACAAAACTGCATGTACACGCGAGACGTGTAATAGTAATGTATTTTTGTAGGACTACACAACTATACCATCTGATCAGCAATCTTACATTGTCCATTATGAAAGCTATTTTCCTTAGAAATTATCCCCAATTACTCAGCAAAGGCCGGCCTCCCTTCCACACCAAGCCTAACTCTGAGGGCTGTGGCTTGCCTACACGAGGCCCCACCAGACGACCAGCGGCAGAGCTGCTGCTTCTCTTCCCATACGACCTGGGTTCCAGCCCCCTTTGCCAGTCCTCCTGCAGCACTGTGTGCGCCCTTCCACTGCTCATTCTGAAGCCAGCAGCATCCTTCACTTGGACCCACACAGTCCTTTCGCTCAGAACTGCGGGTCACTGCAGAAGTCATTTCACCAAGCATACTCAAGAGACGGCCATCACTGAGAGGAAAACCTGGAGGCGCTAAAGAGACGGCCATGCAGCTATGGAGAGAAGAGCGTCCTTCAGAGAGCCTAGGATGGATGTAGCATCTTGAGGCACAAGTACGGCAGAAGCAGCAAGGCGGCCAGTGGGGCAGGAGCAGGGAGCAGATCCTGAAGGGCTTTGTAAACCGCTGCATGTAGCTGAGCTTTGTTCTAAATAAAGCCAGAAGCTGTGGCAGGAACTTCAGGGAAGACAGTAGAGTGGTAAGCACCAAAGTACACATAACAAATAAAACAGCCCCTTCAGCCCCCCATGAGAAATCAAAGGTGGGTACTCCACTGGTGCTCTGGATACCACTGATAATTTGTTTTCTTGGGGTGGCGTCATCAACTCTTCTCACTGTGGTGGGTCATGCCCATCAACATGTGCGATCACGTTCTGGAAACCTTCTATTAATTAGGAAAAAAATACCACTCCCCACTCTACCCCAGCTGACCCACAGGCGCGCTTCTCTGCCACTCTTCACTTTTTTTGAGACAGCATCTGGCTATGCAATGCAGGCTGCCCTTGAACCCACTATGTAGCCAAGGCTGGCCTCAATCTCACAGTGATTTTCCTGCCTCAGCCTCCTGAGTTCTGGGATTACAGGGATTTCCTTCTTCACTCTAAAAGCTTAAAGAGATTCAACATCTCTAGCTCCACCTTCTCTCCTCTCCAGTCTCCCCCCACCAGATTTCTCTTCCTACATTCAGAATGCTCCTGTGGGGGTCACCAGAGACCAGTCATCCTTGTACCCTCCCCTCCTTAGTGCCAAAGCCAACAGGAAAATTCACCCCACTCCTCAGTTATAGAATTATCTCTATTATATTATTATTATTATTATTATTATTATTATTATTTCTTCATGGACTAGAATGGCAGCTCTTGGAAAACAAGGACCTTGATGAAAATGTTTCCTGATGTATCACTGCCACCTAAAACCGCCTGGCAAATGGCAGCAGGCAGGGGATATTTGTTAAGTGATCAAGAAGAGAAGAACATCTTTGGCAATCGTGACAACAAACTACAACCTAAGGAAAAACATAAAATTCTAATGGATATCCTCCCCTAACTTGCCAGGCCATTCATTTCCCTTTCCTAGATGTTAGCAGTTCTAATACCCTGAGGATTGCACCGCAATTGGCATCCTATGCAGTGCACTTGAAGGGAAGCAACAGAGGAACGTGTTTACTCATGAAGACAAGAGAAAGTCTGTTCACACAGCAATACAGCCGGTGCAAAGGAAAGGAGTCCCCCGAGCAGCTCTTGCTCTTCTTTGCATCTGTGCTCTGAGCGCAATGGGCTCCTGAGACCCACGTCTACGTTTTACTGAAAGGGGGAAAGCACTGAGTAGAACTAGTCACGCTCCCCTACGCCCTCATGGCTAGTTCTACCTGTCCTTCCGGAGTTGGGGAGCCCTCCCAAGCCCCACGCTGAGCTGTATGTCCCTAAACTCCCACATCTCCTGCGCCCACCCTCCGCCCCGCTCAAACCACCTGTCATGTACTTCGGGTGCGATGTGGCTGTCTCCCTTGACATACTCTGGGTTCTAAAAAGGCCGAGCCTAGTCCACTGGCTGGCACAAACAAGGCACACAAAGAATTTGTTAGATACGCGATCGACGCGGTAGACACACACCTCCCTGCCCCGAGTGCCCAGAATGCCAGGATCGGTAGCTAACTCTGCACTCTGGGCAGGCCAGAGAGCCGGTGACCCCACTGGATAAGACAGCTCCAGACGGCTTCTCTCTGTATGTGCGGGGCCGGGGAGATAGCTCAATGGCAAGCGCAAGGACCTGAGTTCAATTCCCGGTTCCGAGAAAAATAAAAAAAAAAAAGCACGTGCGCACCTGGCTGGGGTGGAAGGGTGTAGCTTTTCTGGCACATAGCAGCTTCAGGGACTGGGGAACCCTTGGTTAGTCCCCACGGAGAGGGCCTACCAGGGTCTGTGAGGCTGACAGGTTGGCGGGCAGAGCGTGGGACCTCAGGATGGGGCTGCCTCCCCGCGGCTAGAGAAGCGCCCGAGGATCCAGGTGTTCCCTCCAAGAGCATTACCTCTCCCCGGGAGATACGGCCGAGCGCTCCTGAATTCTACGAGCCAACTGGGCCCGCTAACGCTCAGAAGTGACAAGGAGGTGGCGAAACGGCCCGGAGACCTCGCCAGGCCCGGAAAGGCAGGGTTAGGGATCGCGATGGGTAGGTCGTTCCTTCCGACGCTGGCCGCAGCCGCCCTTACCTGCGGAGGGAGGAGGACCGCAGCCGCCGCCCGCGCCCGGCCCGCCC